ATAAGGGTATGGTATTCAGAAAAACAAACATAAAGAACATAAAGAGAGTTAAACAATGTCCCAAAGGACTAAATACACGTGGACCATAAAGCATATTCCCATTCGGCAGCATGGAAAAAGTGGTCATCCAAAGCCAACAGACCAGGAGAGCTTTGTTAAATTAAAATATATCGAAGAAGTGAGAAAAGGTCAGAGGAATTGAGAAAGGAAAAATGCAGGAAAGCAAAGAGAGAGAGGGAAGAGTGAAAGTGTGAGATAAAAAGAAAAAGATAGGGAGAAGATCAGGGTAGGAAGGGGGTAAGGGTGTAGGAAAATAAGGTCATGGAAACCAGAACCAGCAAAGTATAACCACCCATTGAAAGGAGGTCGTATCAGGGCCGGACTGGGGATTCCAAAGCAGCCCTGGAAAAAAAAAATCTATGCCAGCCCCATGAGTCATTGCGCCATATATTGTCGCATGTAATATGTAAGGCTATGTCTTGCAACCCTAGATGATTGAGATATATATATATATATATATATATATATATATATATATAAAAACCAAACGGATCTTGCACTCCACCAATTCAATATTCAATGCCCGGTGCTTGTCAGCCAAAAATGCAAAAAATATTGCCAGAGATAGCAGTCCAAGGACTAATATAAAATATAACTTTTATTACCTCCACTAAAACAACATCTCCTGACGAAAGCTTGAGGGGATCAAGCTGAAACGTTGACCTTGTGTTGTTTTAGTGGAGGTAATAAAAGTTATATTTTATATTAGTCCTTGGAGTGCTATCTCTGGCAATATTTTATATATATATATATATATATATATAGCTTTTTCCAATATAAAATATTGGTCCTTTCAGAGTAAAATTTTTAATTATACAGTAAGCATACTCACATGCAAACACAGACAATCTCACTGACACAAGCGGATTGATACACAGCCTCATACATAAGGTTATTGACATAAAAACACAAGCTCACTCAGTAGCAGGCACACACACACACAAGCAAGCGTGTGCACACACACACAGCTTAATGTAGTGGTATTGGTGTCTATAGCCTGTCCCTGCAGGCTTTTCAATGTAAACACTGACTTTTAAGAGAAAAGGCAGTGTTTACATTGCTTCCTAGTGACAGACACTCAGACGGTAACTAGAGGTGCTTCCTGTGTTAGTTCGGATTGGCTGAGATCATCAAGCTTGATGATCTCAGCCGTAGAGGCAGGGCGAGGGGAGACGAGCATGACGTGGGAAAAAAAAGTGAGTAAAAACACACATACACACACACAAACCATGACACAGACAGACCGTGACACAGACAGAAACACACACACACCATGACAGACACACCATGACACAGACAGACACACACACCATGACAGACACACACCTTAAAAAAGACACACACACCTTGACACACACACACCATAACACAGACAGACCATGACACACAGACACACACACCACGACACAGAGAGACCGTGACACAGACACACACACACCGTGACACAGACAGACACACATTACATGACACAGACAAACACACACACACCATGACACACACAGACCGTGACACAGACACACACACACAATGACAGACACACATTGCATGACACAGACGCACACACCATGACAGACAGTGCATGACACACACACACATGCACACACCATGACAGACAGTGACACACACACCATGACACAGAGACACACACAATGACACAGACACACACACACCATGACAGACAGTGACACACACACCAGGACACAGAGACACAAACAATGACACAGACACACATTGCTGACACAGACAGACACTCACACACCATGACACAGACAGACACACACACCATGACAGACAGACAGACACACACACAAATGAAACACACACACACATACACAATTTCTACCTGTGGGGACTGGCGGCTGCAGAGGGAGCTCCTTTGGCGGCCGCAGGGTTTGCTGGCTGTTCTGGCGGCCACAGGGGGAGCTGGCTGTTGTGTCTCTGCTCCCCCTCCCCTGCGCGCCGCTTAATGAGACCGGGGCCGGAATATGACATCATATTCCGGCCCCGGTCTCTTTGTAGTGCGCTGGGGAGGGGGAGCAGAGACACAACAGCCAGCTCCCCCTGCGGCCGCCAGAACAGCCAGCAAACCCTGCGGCCACCAAAGGAGCTCCCTCTGCGGCCGCAGGTGAGCCAGCTGGCTGCCCGGCCCCAGGTGCCGACGGCCCACTGGGAAATTGCCAGTCCGGCCCTGGGTCGTATACATAAAAAGAGGGAATGGAATAACCATCCTAGTTTGCCTTTCTCCACTGAAGGCTGCAAAACATTTGGAAAGCCAATGTATTCATGTAACTGTGTGTTAGTGTAGCATTGGTGGTTGTCAGCAACCACAAGAATAAGCTGCTCAAATCTCCTAAAATCAAATCTTCTCCATCCTGGGAATCCAATCTTGTATGGAGGCCGCCTTTCTCCACTTCCAGTAATTAGGTATAAAACTATTGGGCAGCATTAATCAAGTGGGGAATGATTGATTTCCGGTAGCACTTTACAGAAAGAGTTAAGATGCCACATATATATGCGGCCCGCCCCGGGTGCCACTCACTAGGGGGGTGCCATGACCAGGGTGGCCTAAGGATGTGTGAGCTAATCGGCAGTGGAGGCGGAGCCAAACCTGCAGCGGTTGTGTGACTGTCCATCTGTGACTGTGTGTGTGACTGTCTGCCTGTGACTGTGTGTGACTGTCTTCCTGTGACTGTGTATTTGTGTGACTGTCTTCCTGTAACTGTGTGTGTGTGTGTGACTCTCTGCCTGTGACTGTGTGCCTGTAATTGTATGTGTGACTGTAACTGTTTGTGTGACTGTCTGCCTGTGACTGTGTGCATGTGACTGTGTGCCTGTAATTGTATGTGTGACTGTAACTGTTTGTGTGACTTTCTGCCTTTAACTATGTGTTACTGTCTGCCAGTAACTTTGTGTGACTGTCTGCGAGTGACTATGTGCCTGGGACTGGACTCTGAAGACTGTTGTTAATATTGTTGTGTAAAAAAAATGAATTCTGTTGTAAGGGGCTGAGCAGGGGCTTTAGAAGGAGAGGCAGTTTTTTTGTGGAAAAGGGGGTGCAGGAGTTTTATGGAAGAGGGATGCAGGTGTTTGTAGAAGGGGGACAGGGATTTTGTATAACAGGGCTGAGCAGTGGATTTGTGGAAGGGGGGTGCTGGGGTTTTGTAGAACTGGGGCAGGACATGCGTTTTATAGAACGGCGGGCAGGAGAGAGGTTTTGTAGAAGGTGGCAGGACAGGGTTTTTTCAAAATGTACACAATTGTGCAATTTTAAAAAATGAAACCATTTAAAAAAATATTTGGGGTGTTTTTTTACATTTTAAAGTGTGGGGGTTGGCAGGGGGGTGCCATACAGAGGATCTGCCCTGTGTGCCAAATGCTTTAGGTACGCGCCTGGGTCTAAGGATAGAATTCAGCCTGATTCGAGAAGATTATGTGCTCTTGGAGGGTGTTGAAGACTCAAAGAAGGCAGATCTCCTTTAATAATATAATGATAGTAATTATGTTATAGATTGCTTTTAAGCGCAAGACCAAAGCATTATATACAAAAAAACTATTTAAATACATGTCTACTGAAAATGAAGAATACATTATTCTGTTTCAATACTGTACATATACTTACATGCAGCACACATTATTGTGCATTGTGTCGCTGAGAAGCTCCATGACATACTCATGTAATCTAAAGAGTACTGTGAGTTAATTTGCTGTGGAGCTCTGCACCCACACATATACGGCACTTATCTCAGATTTGTATTCTTTTGTATACTTATACACACTAGTTGTCCTAAATATATTACATATCTTTTTTCACCCACAAGCTACTAAGCTACTAATAATTCATAATGTGGTCATTTATATTCCAAAATAAATGCTCTCATCTTTTATGAATTCATCTAAAAAGTTGAACATGGTTTCTATGGTTACAAAAATCCATTACCTTTGAAAAAAGAATGAAAAAGTTTGATTTAAAATATCTGCTATTTATTATACAAAAATTTCAATGGCCTTCAGGTGGTTTTCTAACTACATTCATTTTTCAGTGTCAGAGCTGACCCACCAAAGTATCAGCTCAGATCTGTTTACAGCAGGAAAAGGAGATTTATGCATTTTTTTTTACATGTTTTTTATCACTAACGGTATAAAATATCAAAGCACCATCGAATGAATTAGTTGATTGCTTTCAACAAAGGAGACTGTTAAAAAGCATTGAAAAGAACAGCACAACCACATTTTTCTTTATTCTTCTCTCTTTTTTTTTTATTTTAGACAAACATTAATAAGCTAATAAATTATTGTATTATATTTATATATTTTAGATTTTATTATATTATTTTATCATATTTTCCTTGTTCCTTCCATAAAATTGGTTGCTTCAAGTACACACATATGCATGCACATGTGTGTGCGCCACATGCACACACACACTCACACACACACTATTTGAATTCAGAAAAAGTGACTTTCAAAACTTTAGCCAAAAAAACTGAATCAGAAAGTCAATTTTTAAGTTTTTTTTAATCTTAACCCCTTAAGGACACATGACATGTGTGATATGTCATGATTCCCTTTTATTCCAGACGTTTGGTCCTTAAGGGGTTAAAGGGATATCCCACTGCTAAAAACAAGAACAAAAAACACTATATAGTCGATATACATCAATTAAAACATACATGCATGTATTGATACATTTTCATAAGGGTTACTTACAAAATCTGTTTGCAAAAGCTAGAGATCTCTTATTTAAAGTCTTTGCAAGCCCTCCCCTTCTAACCCTGCCCAGACTTTCTGAAGCTGTCCATTCACAGACTTCCCAATGTAGCTCAATAAGAAGTCTTTGCAAGGCATGTGCTCTGAGTAGTGATGTCCCGAACGGTTCGCCGAACGGTTCGCCGAATGGTTCGCCACGGATGGCGAACATATGACCCTGTACCTCACAGTCAGCAGACACATTCCAGCCAATCAGCAGCAGACCCTCCCTCCCAGACCCTCCCACCTAATGTACAGCATCCATTGTGAAGCTGCATTCTTAGTGAGCTGTCCAGGAGGTGGGAGGGTCTGGGAGGGAGGGTCTGCTGCTGATTGGCTGGAATGTGTCTGCTGACTGTGAGGTACAGGGTCATATGTTCGCCGTCCGTGGCGAACCGTTCGGGACATTACTAGCTCTGAGCAATTGTCTGAATTTTTAGTTTTAGGTTAGTCTTCATATCAGCCAGGGGGTGTAAAATGGTTAAGTTATAAAAATGTATTTTTTTACTAAAATCTCCACTTTTTGTAAAATAAAATAAAATGGACACACTCTTCACTTATTATTATTAATATTATTATTATTATTATTATTATTATTATTAATATAGAATGCTAATATGCTTTAGGGGCCTGGAGTGCTCCTTTATTGTTCTTAAGAAATTAGAAATTTCTGAACTTGGCACCCCATAGCACTGTGTGCTTAGTGATGTTTTGGCACTAGTATATCAAAAGAGGTAAGACACACCGTGACATTCTATTTGATTAGTTTATGTCACAAGTTGTTATAAGGGCGCTGACACTATATAGCCTTGGTATTATGCCTTCAGGAATATTTATACTATCAGTGCCTGGCGCACTGTGTAACAATGACTCTCTGCATTTAACCCTTTTCCCACCATGCATTATATTAAAGGGGAAGGTATTCTGGTTATTCTGTATCCGTAGATTTTTGTCTAAATAACCTGTAACTTGTTATACGACTACACCTCACTATATGTTGGACATAACAAATAAGTGTATTACCAGGAAATGATATCCTACCTTCCAGATGGAATCACAAAACCATCAGACATTAGCTTTCCATCATATCACCAACCGTAATAAATGGTTGAGTAAAATAAAGTAGAAAGGAGGAAAAAATTGGAATTGTCAGAGGTTGGTAAGAATGATGGGGAAAAATAGATAAAAAATTTTTCATATTTTCTCACCTATCTTAACATGGACAAATAAAAGTGGGTTAAAAAATAAAACAGAACCCCAGGTAATAAGAACTCACCAGTCACATTGAATTCTGTTTCATTCCCCATGTAAATCTGGTTCCGATCCACAAATAATATGTACTTTGTTATCTTGCCATTTGGTTTCCTGGGTGGTGACCAATATAAATATAATGAATTAGGAAATGACTTCACAGTTGGAATCTGGACATCTTCTGGAACTGTAAATAATTTATAAATAATTTATTAGTAAACTATTTATTTCCATCAGAGCATAAAAGCAATCCCAATTTATTTCCATATGTTTAACCCCTTAAGGACACATGATGGAAATATTCCGTCATGATTCCCTTTTATTCCAGAAGTTGTGTCCTTAAGGGGTTAATATAGACAAGATTAAAAATAAAACAATAAAAGTTTAATAAAATAGAATATCATACAATGAATATAAGAGACCATAATGTTTAGTCTTCTAAGTGTTTTACTATTTTATGTTATTTTAAAATGCATTCAGTGAGAAGTGTGTTGCACGGCCCTTCCCTGTAGCTCTGAAAGGATTAGCATTGCCCCCGTTGCAGTTACAATGCTTCTGTATAGTTCCATGCCCTTTTTTTTTTATTTTCATAGTGTTAATCGCCACGTGGTGATCTCTATAATGTGCGGTAGACAATACTAACGACAGCCTGTTAAAAATTGCAAGAAGGTAAGAAACACGGTAATTTGTAGTCGCTAATATCTACTGGCTCTTGTTAATAACAACAGCTTACGGCGGATAATTACTGACAAGGTTGGAAACGAGCCTTTTGTAGTTATAACAGTTAAGAAATGCTAATCCAATTGTGAAAATGTGCAGTTGAAGCAAATGATCTTTTAAATGTTACGTTTAAGCAATGGAACTGTAGGTATTCCATCTTGCATCAGTTTTCTGTCTGTAAGCAGGAAGGAATAAGAATAGAACAATTGAACATTGACTTTGTGTCTAGTCCTCGCAGAGGCAAAAACACACGCTCCCAGTGGTCTTATTTGATTTCTACAGGAAAATCTATTTCTGCATAACCACAGCCCATTTGAGAGTGTCTCTGCATTAATCTCCTCTTTATTTTTGTTATATGTAAACGTGCGCCATCATTAGTTTATATGTATTAACACAAACAGATACACCAAAAATAAATCTTACTTGAAAATTAATTAACACAATTTTTAGAAATTGAAAAGATTTTTTAATAATCTTAAATATATTAATAACTATGCTCACACATATATATATAAGACAATATGTGTAGTCAACGTGTGTATAAAACAATTAATTATGAGTTGCAACTTCGGGCATATATTTTAAATCACTCATTTTGTCATTCTACTTTTCCCCTTTATGGAAGGGCAGACAATGGAAACAAGGGCAATTATCCCAAATATCAAAACCATTTACGCGTTTCGCCACTAGGGCTTTTTAAAAATGGGATAAGAAGCCCTAGTGGCGAAACGCATAATTGATTTTAATATTTGTGTATTTTATATAATTAAAGGTTTTTTGGTCACTATTTGTGCCAACTATCTTTTTATACACGTTCTTTATTTTTACCTGGCTTTTTATCAATTTTATCGCGTGCTTACAAGATTGTTCGAGGTGGGGATCATACCACCAACGCTGTCATCAGAGTGCAGTTGGCCTGCACTATACTTGTAAGGACATTTTTATTTTCTTACAATTCCATACCCTGTTAAACAGAGAGCATTATCAGCTGTTTTTATAAATCCCTTTCCTGAGAGTTGGACATCATTCCCTCCAGAAGACAACCACCTATATATCCCATAAGCGGGGATTAGACAGCTGTACGCCCGTTATATTCTATAACATATATTGACCCACAAAGTCTATGCGATCGGTCTCTTATTTGTGTCTTCCATAGTATGAGAAAAATCAAACTACTATAAACAGTGAGGACACCACATCACCAAAAGCACCTTAAAAGACACTCGTCGCCAGAGTACAACTTTAAACTATTTTGGACTGATTTATATGCACTTACTTTTATATATATGCTCTATCTATCTACTTGTTTTATTATCTATAGTCCACATTGATATACTTTGGCGCAGCCTTGCACTACTGTTGTTGATGTTTCCTACTCTTATGCTAGAGAGTTAGAGGGTTACCCTCTGCTAAGCCGCTGCCTACTTATTCTTTATTATTATTAGTGCTGACCTCTTTTAACTTTTTACAATTATCCCAAAGGCTAATAACATGTCATATTAGCCTCACATATACATTATTATGTTGTCATTGTTATTCTGTTTGTCATTAGTAGTATCAGAGTCATGCGAAGCAGTGTCTGTGTCACTTAAGCATGTAGAGAGTTATGTCGATGGTCCCTCGTACTGTTTATGTCATACTGATGGTATTCTTAGGGATAGATGATGACTCTACCTGTGTCCCTCTATCAAATCTGTCATATACGTTCTATGTTCATCTGTGCCCGCTACAGTGGAAGAGGTTTCTGCTCTGCTCCAGTCCTCCCGTCCCACCACCTGCTCCCTAGATCCAATTCCCTTGCATCTCATCCGTACTCTGTTTTCTTCTCTTTCTCTACCTCTCACTAAAATTATCAATCTCTCGCATATTTCCACCGCCCTTCAAACATGCAACTATAACCCCAATTCTAATGAAGCCCAACCGTGACCCTAACTCCCTATCCAACTACTGTCCTATCTCGCTACTGCCTTTTGCATCCAAGATCCTTGAAAGAGTTGTGTATGCGAGATTGACAGACTTCCTTGAGTCCAACTCTCTGCTAGACCCACTTCAGACTGGTTTCCACGCTAAGCACTCTGTAGAAACGGCACTGACCAAAGTATCCAATTATCTTCTCCCTGCAAAATCTAATTAACACTACTCTATCCTAATTCTCCTTGACCTTTCTGTGGCTTTTGACACTGTTGATCATCAACAGCTTCTTCTCATCCTCCGCAATATCGGTCTGCAAGACATTGCTCTCTCCTGGTGCTTCTCCTACCTCTCCCAGCGCTCTTTCAGTATTTCTTTCTCTGGCTCTGCTTCTTCTCCCCAACTCCTCTCTGTTGGTGTCCCCCAAGGTTCAGTCCTTGGTCCCCTACTGTTCTCCATCTATACTGCCTCCCTTGGTAAACTCATTAGCTCCTTTGGCTTCCAATATCATTTCTATGCAAATGACACGCAAATCTACCCGTCCCTCTTGACTAGTGTCTCTGACTGCCTCTCTGCTATTTCTAACTGGATGGATGCCCACTTCCTTAAACTCAACTTGACCAAAACTGCAATTCTGGTCTTTCCTCTCTCAAGTGTTGCTACTCCTGTGTCTGTCTCCCTCCAAGTCAACGGTGCTACCATCAGCTCCACCATGCAGGTGTTCTCTTTGACTCAGACCTTTCTTTCACACCTCATGTTCAGTCTATCGCCAAATCCTGCCGCTTCCATCTCAAAAACATTGCGCGCATCTGACCCTACTTAACACCAGATGCGACTAAGGTGCTGATCCATTCTGCTGTCCTTTCTGGCCTTGACTACTGTAATCCGCTTCTCAGTGGTCTTACGTTCCACCAACTTGCACCGTTACAGTCCCTAATGAATGCAGTGGCCAGGCTCATCTTCCTGTCCGCCTGCACCGCCCATGCCTCACCCTTCTGTCAGTCCCTACGTTGGCTTGCTGTAAGATATAGGGCTCAATTTAAAATTCTGGTTCTTGCTTTCAAAGCTCTACATAATGCTGCTCCCACTTATCTATCCTCCCTAATACACAAGTATGTCCTGTCTCGGTCCTTACGCTCAGCTGAAGACTTATGTCTATCTTCTGTCTATACTCCCACCTATGATGCTTGCCTTCAAGACTTCTCGAGGGCTGCACCGTTCCTGTGGAACTCATTTCCCTCCTCCGTCAGATGCTCTCCCAGTCTCCACTCCTTCAAAAAATTATTAAAAAAACACTTCTTCATAAAAGCGCATCAATTAAACTGTTAATAGCTGCCGACTGTTTCCTCTCTTGCAAGTGTCATTAGTCTGATACTATCCTTACCTTTTGTGTCACTTTACCCCACTCCCTCTAGCATGTAAGCTCATTGAGCAGGGCCCTCAACCCCTCTGTTCCTGTGTGTCCAACT